ACCATCCCGACTCGCTGTGATTATATATAGAACCCACTGGCCCTCCTTTGGTCCAATTTTCATATAAGTTTTTAGACTTATAAACGACCAGAGGTGGCAATAAAACTCCTGCTGCCGTTCCACAAAACATAACACTGATTGATGTTCTTGAATGCTCTCTTACTCGCGCCATTACACGTGGTACAACAACTTTGAGGGACCCTGGATCATCTGTTATATTTGTTTCATCGTAATTGTACACTTGATTAGGTTTAGCGGTATCTACAATCTTACAAATATTTTCATAAAATTCACGGAGTTCAGTAGGCCCAACCGATGCTCTCTGTTTTTTAATATTTGTAGCTAAACGAACGGAGAGTCCATTTCTAACGGCAAAAGCATTTACAAAATCTACACCTGGCACATTATTTTCCCAGTCTGCTACAACCCTACCTTTTTTGGTAACAAATTTCTCGATCACGCCTCGAATATCCGCTTTGCTCATAGGAAATCCCCAATCGCCTACAGTTCCCAGCGTTTGTGCTATCAATTCTTCCTCGTCTTTAGATAAAATGGTCCAGGATTACCTTGATGAGAACCACGAACTTTGTATAATAACGTCGTTCTGTTTATATTGTACTTTTCAGTGGCCGCCTTCTGTGATAACCTACCGCTTTTAACATCAGAAATTGCTTTGATTGGGTTTTCCTCAGTAAAATTCTTGTACGCACGAGCTCCCACTTTTCTCTTATAGTTTCTAACCATATTTGCACAATTTTTAAGTATTAAAGACACGCACAATCATCAATAAACAGCAGAATGCTCACAAGCGTGTCCACATGTAAACACAAGTAACATAACCTTATATTTACGGGGATGTCAAAGTAGCCTCAAAAAGTGACAAAGTAAACCTCAAAGTCAAAGTAGCCCCGGTTTACGGTAACACTGCGGTTTTTGGTAACAAGAGAAAGTTATAGATCCTTAAGGCTCTGCTGCAGTGAATATTATTATTCAAATTTTCGAAAAAAACAAGTCGCATACGATTTTGAGACGTCGTACTGGAAAAAATTAGTAAAAAAATCGTGGTTTCATTTGACCTTAAAAAAATATTGTCTGCTAAAGAAACCAAATCATTCTTAGTGCATAACTTTGGATCCAGTAAATATATTGCAGTCAACATTTTGGAATAGACTTAACTAACCACTGCCTCTGTGTCCCTAATTTTATTAAATTTCATCTGCTTTTCCAAAAATTGCTTTGCAAACTTTTGTGTAATTACAGTTAAGACCACACAGTAGTAAAGTGAAAAGTGAAACTCGACACGTTAAGACATAGGCAATTGTATAGAGAATGATTGACAATTTTTCCTTTTCTTAAATTTTTATAAACAAAGAAAATATAAGCAAATTAATAAAATCAACACGCCCCCAAGAAAATATAATACTTGTAGTGTAGTCATTGTAGATCGTAATGATTTGCAATATTTCAGTTTCCCTCATTTTCATCGTTATCAAATAGTATATTGAAAGACAAGTGTTACAATGCCACCTATTGTAATACGACTACCTTGTGGCACGAGTGGCGACGCGAAGCGTAGCCACGAGTGTCCGCAAGATAGGAGTATTACAATAAAGCATTGTAACACGCATTTTTCATACTATTTTTTCTATTTCGGTGCTTTAATTTAATTAAAAAAATCATTATCAGAAACTATAGGGAACATTAGAACTAACATGTTTTATGTTGGGAACACTTTTTATGCCGTTAAGTTTTAGGTTGGCAGCGTAGTAAGACTGACATTTTGAAGTTCAAACATGGAAGTACCTACTTGTACCATTGACTTGTACTAACTAGTAACTGCCAACTTAAGAGATGAGTTACCAAAAAAAAACGACTATAATCACTGTCTTTGTACAACTGTTTTCGGCCTAAAACAGTTGTACAAAATCATCATTGTGACACCGAAATAGAAAAAATTAGTTAAACACTCCGATCTAATTAAAATACAAGTACAAAGCCTAAAACCTCCGCTTGTAAAAGAAAACTTCGAACAACTTTTATATTCACACGTAGTTTTGTATTCTTATTGGATCGGTGTATTTAACAAAATGTTTGATAGAGAATGTCTACCAATGTGGAATATAATGAGGGAAACTGAAATATTGTAGAAAACAAGGTTGTATTCGCTTAAATTTTTAAATTAGTACCGACTGTATGGCGGATTTCTAAGAAAACGAGAAAAATGAGAATATCTCAACAACTGTTCACATTCGTATAAGGCATGTTTGACTAAAACAACTGCAAATGAGCTCTAATAACATGTCTTCTACTATGTATATACGTTATGAACCAGTCACCCTGCATATGGATGATGGCAATTAAAATTCCATACGTTCTAACTCACGCTTTCAACTGTTTGTGTAAAACGAATCTCGGTTTCCCAAAGAAAGATGAAAATCGACGCGCACTAATCAAAGCAAGAAAATGTGCCGACAAATGGTCTTGTCAAATTCGAACAATAGATGGAGCCATCTATCAAAACGGTACAAAAGTTATGGGGATAATAATGCTTTGTAATGGAGAAAAATCGTTACACTACACAATATGTTCTGTTCCAAAATCCTCAACAACTATCAGTAGGTGGATCTCCACCGTCCAACTATTAAATGTTAAATGCAATTTCAATTTTCAATTTCATTTATTATTTACCACGTTACATGTCTGGTAGATGTGTTTGTGGCACGTCAAGCATAACATATAAAAGTAACATACAACATAAATATACATTATACGATAAAATTATTTTACATTTAACATATATACATAAATAATATTTTAGGTAGGTACATAGGTACATGTAAGCGTACAAAGTTTATACTATGTCTCTTGGTGATATTTGTGTGCTTAAAAATTCATTGACTGAATATAACGCTTTGCTGGTAAGGAAACGCTTAACTTTGATTTTAAATTTTCTATTGTCGAGTGCTTTGATATTATCAGGTAGGTGGTTGTAGAGTTTCAAGTTCACTCCATTCATATCAGACATCTTGATGCGATGTCGGGGTAGTCGCAACGTCCCTTTGGCTCTGGTGTTGTAGTCGTGAATGTCAGAATTTAGCTCGTAGGATCCAGCAGTTGAATGAATGTCCACCAAAGAAGCCAGAATATATAGAGAAGGCAATGACAGCACTGATAATGAAATAAACAATGGACGGCAGTGCGCTCTACACGGTTTGCGAGCTATAATGCGAATCACCCTTTTTTGTAGGCGAAAAATTTTCGTAGCATGAGCAGGGTTCCCCCAGATCTGTACAGCATAGCTTATTTGTGAGTGAAATAGGGAAAAATATGCCATCTTAAGTAAATGAGGGCTGACAATGCGTTTTAGATTTCTAATGAGAAAAATGGTAGATGAGAGCTTCTTGGTAAGAGATTCAACATGAGCTGACCAATTTAGAGAATCGTCAATTTTGATTCCAAGTAGCGTAACATTGTCACCTTTCAGTAATGAAGTGTTAGAGGTTACAATTAACTGTTGGGTCTTATTACTATTTAATATGAGGCGATTATTGGTGAACCAGTTTTCGGCCAATTTCTCACATTCGTAGACTTTATGTTGTAGTTCACTGCTTTTATGAGCTGATGATAGCAATGTTGTGTCATCGGCAAATAAAACGCAAGTATTAGGTAACATGGTGTAGTAGAAGTCATTAATGAAGGTGATGAACAAGATTGGCCCAAGCACTGAGCCCTGCGGCACCCCCGCCTTTATTGTACTGCAGTTTGAATAGACGCCTTTAATACACACGCTATTCTGTCGTTCTTCGAGATATGACTTAAAGAGCTTTAGCGAGGTGCCACTTAATCCGTAATACTCCAATTTCGTCACAAGGAGATCATGCGGGACACAATCGAAGGCTTTCGATAAATCAAATAGTGTGATTTGAGAGATTCTTCCATCGTCCAAATTTTTCACCAGTTGTTGCATCAATTTGAGCACCGCCTTGATAGTGGAGGGGTTTTTCCTGAAGCCATACTGACTAGGGTTTAGCAAATCATTATCTTCTAGATATGATGACAACCTAGTCTTCAGTACGGTTTCAAATATTTTCCCGAATACTGGGATAATGGAGATAGGACGATAGTTATTTAAGTCATCCTTAGTACCTTTTTTTAGGATGGGGACTACTTTATTGATTTTAAACGCATCTGGGAAGACCCCGGAAGCGATACAATTATTGATGAGAGCTGCCAAGGGAGAGGCAATTATGTCTGCTACAAACTTTACAATTTTGCAATTGATATTGTATACATCCGTGCTAGCTGAATTCTTCAAAGTATTAAGTACTTTGAGAATTTCCTCGGTCGAAGTAGGATAGAGGAAAAAAGTGCAAGTGGGCTCTGGTACGGTTTTTGACAAACATCCACCATCAAAATTATTAGCAGGCAGAATTCTGAGTAAATTGGCAGCAATGTTACAAAAAAAAGTGTTAAATTCATCAGGCGAAAAAGAGTGTGCGTCGTCGGTGCTTAGTACCTTGTTGCGCTCATAGTTGATCAATTTCCAGCTATCTCTCATAACGTTACTAGAATTAGTAAGAAATTCATCGTTTTTGGTTTTTTTACTTGTGATTACAGCTGAGTTATACTCAATTTGCTGCGATGAATATATCATTTTAATTAAAAATGATAGACAATGTGAAGAAAGACTGACAATATTTTATAAATTTTTAAACCTGGACACGAGAACACTTAATAAATGTGATTAAACCTCCACTTAATTGCTGAAATTACGTACATTTTCTAGATTATTCCCATGAAACTTTTACTAATTGAACGAAGAATCCTACATTTATCTAAAAGTTGCGGAAACTTGTAACGTTTTCTATAAGCAGTTACAGGTTTTGTAAATACTGCAAAAGTAATTTAATAGAGGTCAGGATATGAATATAAATTCAATTTTAAAATTTATCTTTTATCTAACATTCTTGACCAAGGGGTCAAGAGAAAAGACATTTTGATATAAGGCGAGGCTGGTGGTCAGTTGTTGAGCTGAATATAATTGTTTTAAATTTAAACTTTATACCACTGGTGAGTACAATCTCCGATCACTTTTTATTAAGACCCATTAATCCATAGGCCGCTTTCCTATTCTCTGGTATTCTGCGAGAATAAAGTATCATAATTGGATGATTAATGCGAAGATAATACTTACATCTAACGAGCCCAATCTGATAGCGACTAGTGGAGACCCAATCTGATAAGAGTCCTGTGGAAAAACCCCGGCTTCAACCACCTTTTTGGACATCCGTAATTCCACCAGTTTGAATTAGATCAAAAGCAAGGTCAGACTAATTTTACTTACCTACCGCTCCTGTCGTGAAGCATGTCGGGTCTATACCAGCATTAAGATTGTGGGCAAGGCGATCACCCTTAAATCTAGAACAAAAGTACCTACTCGTTAGCCAGACTCGAGGTGACCAGTTGTACTTACCAGTTTAGGAATCCGTAGCTGCACCGCTGCAGGTGTACCTAATCATCCGTTCGACATTTAACTTAATCTATTTATAATAAATAAAACTTAATTAGCGTAGCACTTCATGCTTGTTTAATTTTTCACTTGCTAAAGGAATACATTGTGACTACTTTAAAGTTTATTAGCACTACTAATACGGCAACTTGTTATATACCGGGTAGGTGCTGAGCGATTTGAGTGATTGGTAATCAATTTCATAAAGCCAAAAGGGAACTACGCAAGTATTATTTACCGCCTCTAACGTAAATGAGCATTTGTTAATTTACCTAAGATCGCTACCCCAATAAGGCCTTATTCCGCTAGCAGTCCATTTTATTTGTCGAGCGTCAGACTGCAAATCACTTGTGTGAGATTTGTATTGCAAACTATACCCTTGCGAGGTTGTTACCTACCTTATAAGTTACTATTGTGCGTCCCCTACTCAAGCCGTGATGTCCCTCCTGTACCAAATTATAAAAAAAAAAAATGTCAAAGCCTGTGACTATTGCCTAACATTAATATACGAACCGTTTAGTGTGACTGGTTAGTTTTTTTGCCCCAGCCGAGCACCCACGACCCCTGCCTCCTATATTCGAGCTGCCTCCTTTGGCAAAAGTTTGTGCCGTTGTTGCACGAGGCAACGTAGGTCATACATTTGGCGCCCAACGTGTATAATTTACTTTGTTGATTAATTTGATTATCAATTTTGGTTCTGCAATATTGGTGGCACTAGAAAGTTTCTTTATATTTGTTTTATTACAATAGCTATAGGATTTACATACTTATTCAGTAATTATGGACATTTACCGTCTAAAATCTGATGAACTCACCTACGAACTCAATCTTAGAGGTATAGAGGCGACCGACATGACAGTAGAAGATAAACGGAAGATGCTAAGATCGAAAATAACGCTAGAATCTCGCGACCCAACGTTAACGCAAAAATACAACATCATTGATCATGACCCAGAATCAGAAATAAGTACCTGTCAACAAAAATTAGAAGAATTAAGTGACATGGTGGAGCAGTACATTAGCAGACAAACCCCAAGCCTGTATAGTAAAGCCAACGCAAGACTACTACACTTATTTCACCGCATACGGAACATAAAGAGCAACGAAGAAAACTATGCAACAGTGAAGCAATTGGACAATCGATGCCTAGAGGTTATGAACGCATTACAAGAAGTCGCAGATGAAAGCAGATGTCAATCTGATCCAGAACCTGAAGATAGAAGAGAAGCTGAAGAAATAAGAGAACCGGAAGAAAGAAGAGAGATAAACCCACAAATAAATAGAACACTGATGCATGCCGACACCATACAGATAACAAGAGGAGAAGAAACACAGGAAATCCCAAACTTGCAAACGTTTGTCGACAACATAAGACGTCTGAATCTCGAAAGTTCTCCAGCTACCAACAACACACAATTAAGTTCAGCAAAGTCCATACCGGTGTGCAAGTGGAATGTATATTTTGATGGCGACTTAAAGAGAATGGGTGTCAATTCATTCCTTGAACGAGTAGAAGAATTGAGAATTGCGAGGAACATCACATACCCACAGCTGGTAAATAGTGCAATTGATTTATTTAAGGGACAGGCATTGATTTGGTATCGAGCAGTTAGACAAAAAATACGGACATGGGAAGAGTTGGTAACAGAATTGAAAGATACATTCTTACCAGAAGACTATGACGATGCCCTATGGAATGAAATTCGCGCACGTTATCAAGGAGCTGAAGAAAAACCAAGCGTGTACATAGCTGCCATGACCAATCTATTCAATAGGCTGACTATCAAACCATCAGAGTGGGAACAACTAAAATTAATTAGGAAGAATTTGCAACCATATTTCAAAACAAATTTAGCTTTAACTTCAATACGCACCGTCGGAGAACTGAATTTCCTCTGCAAACGCCTCGAAGACGTGAAATTTCAGAACTATGTATTTAGAAATCCACAACTTAAGAACTCGTGTCCTTTAGAGCCTGATTTAGCGTATAACGAACCTGAAAAGAGAAAAAAGCAAGTAAATGCAGTTGTGAAGAGAAGTAACTTTAGAGCAAAAGCCGAATTAAACTGCTGGAACTGCAAACTACCAGGGCATACTTACCACGTCTGCACAGAAGAACTGACAGTATTTTGTTTTAAATGCGGTAATCCAGGAACGAGATACAGCAGCTGTGGTCCATGTAAGTCAAAAAACGAGCAACGGGGGTGGTCAGATCAGCCCGGGCCATCCCGAAGACAATAAACAACATGAAGAATCACCAACCAATCACGGAGACGCGAAACCTACAAATTGATAATAAATGGAAGGAATGGTTACATAACGTCAAACAATTTTACAAGCAAACAATCCATGTAGCAGCATCGTTCAAGCATCCGAATAAAGACGACAGGCCATTTTTGACTGTGAACGTAGGAAATGACAAATTAATTGTGTTGATGGATCCTGGTGCGAGCCAAACAATTTTGGGTAGTAAGGGACTATTTTTAATAGACAAATATGATTTGGAAATCACTCGTCCAACCTCACAGATTGATTTACGGACAGCCGATGGTTCGCCTCAAAAAGTATTAGGTACTGTTGAATTACCTATAACACTGGATGGTAAAACAAGGTGCATTGAAACATTAATAATTAATACCATTTCCCCAGCGATTATCCTAGGTATAGATTTCTGCCGCAAATTTGGTATCAGATCAGACTTCCTAACCGATAGCTACACTACTACAAGATCGTTATGCGCACTCACAGCGATAAGAGGTGCTGAAGAGTTGGACGACTTGCAGAATGCAGAAAATACATCTAGAAAATGTAATTGAGAAAATGAGAACTGAAATAGGAGGCAAAACTTTAGGAAGAACACATAAAGTTACACATCACATTAACACTGAAGGAGCCGCACCTATAAAGCAACGGTATCATTCCATGTCACCATATATGTTAGAACATTTAAACAAGGAAATCGACAGTATGCTGGAGCAAAAAGTTATCAAACCTTCAACATCGCCCTGGTGTTCACCTGTTGTAATGGTGAGAAAAAAATCTGGAGAATTCAGACTTTGTTTCGACGGACGAAAGTTGAACGCGGTAACGAAGCACGATGCATTTCCTCTTCCACATGTTCAAGACATCCTAGATCGGTTACGTGACGCACGATATATTTCGACAATAGACTTGAAAAAGGCGTTTTGGCAAATACCATTGGATGATGAATCGGGCGAAAAAACAGCTTTTGCAGTACCTCGGCGTGGGTTGTTCGAATTCACAGTACTCCCATTTGGTCTACATAACGCAGCGCAAACACTACGGAATTAGAACCCAACATAATAGTATATCTTGATGATATTATAATGATTAGTAAAACTTTTTCACAGCACATATCATTATTGGAAGAAGTAGGTAAACGACTCAAGAATGCAGGTTTAACAATAAACTTGGAGAAATGTGAATTTTGTAAACCTTCGTTAAAATATTTAGGCTACGTAGTAAATAAATATGGATTGCACACAGACCCAGACAAAGTTGAAACGATAGTAAAAATGCCTATACCACGCAATAGTACAGAGGTGAAAAGATTTTTGGGAATGTCAAGTTGGTACCGCAAGTTTATACCCGAATTTTCGACGATAGCAGAACCAATTTTAGCAACCATAAAAGGAAAAGTTAGAAAGAAACAAGCAATAAAATGGACACCGGAAGCTGAAGAAGCGTTTAATAAATTAAAGCAGTTATTGACATCAGCACCAATTTTAGTTAGTCCAGATTTTACAAAGATGTTTCATATACAGACAGATGCCAGTGATGTGGGTATTGGAGCAGTACTCGCACAAGGAGATGGTGAAGACGAGAAGGTCATAGCATACGCCAGCAGAACCTTGAGTGGTAGCGAAAAAAATTATTCAGCAACAGAAAAAGAATGCTTAGCGGTACTGTTTGGTATACAGAAATTCCGTCCATATGTTGAAGGAACGAGATTTAAAGTTATAACAGATCACCATTCACTTCAGTGGCTGAATTCAATAAAGGATCCTTCTGGCAGACTGGCGAGGTGGAGTATGAAATTGCAACAACATGATTTCACAGTGGAACATCGAAAAGGGAAAGAAAACGTAGTCCCGGATGCGTTATCAAGAGCACCTTTAGAAGTAGCCTGGATAGATATAACAACAATCCAACCAGATAAGTGGATAAGAAGAATGACGACAAGAATAAAGGAATCACCAGATAAATATCCAATATGGAGAGTAGAAGACAATCTTCTTTACAAGTTTGTACCAAACAACCATGGAATAGAGTCGAACTTGGTAGAATGGAAATTGGTGATCCCAACAGAAAAACGGGTAGAAGTATTAAGAATGTGTCACGATGAACCAACCTCAGCTCATTTGGGATCATACAAGACGTTTCACAAAGTCGCAGAGAAATATTACTGGCCGAAAATGAAAAGCGACGTAAAAAAGTATGTGGCAAAGTGTAAAATATGCCAGTCCAACAAGACGTCACAAGGAGTTAGAGCAGGATTGATGGGACTAGAGAAGAAGATAAATTTTCCATTCCAATTATTGTCAATGGATTTGGTGGGACCACTTCCGAGGTCATATAAAGGAAATACATCCCTACTAGTAATATGTGATTGGTTTACAAAATTTGTTTTCCTACATCCAATACGAAAAGCGACATCGGCGGCAATAATAAAATACTTGGAAGATCATGTATTTTTAACCTTCGGAACACCACAAATCGTAGCCTGTGATAATGGACCGCAGTTCACGAGTGCCATATTCAAAAAATTCATGAAGGAGTATGGAATAGAAAAAATATGGTTCAATGCTGTTTACCATCCTCAAGCAAATCACGCAGAACGCATAAACAGAGTGGTGACAACGGCCATACGTTCATATGTAAGAGATGACCACAAGAAATGGGACGAAAATATATCCAAGATAGCACATGCAATCAGGAACGCGAAACATGAGGTGACCGGATATACCCCATCGTTTTTGAATTTTGGTCGCACAATTCCATGTTCAGGGCAGTATTATGGAAGATTAAAAAATTTCCCTCCAGAAGAGCTCACCATAGAGAATAGAGAGAAAACAGTATTTGAGATAAATGAACTTTCAGAAATATATAGAGATGTTACATCTAAACTAAGTAAAGCCTATTTGAAAAACCAGAAACAATATAATCTACGAAAACGCCCATTAAAATTTCAGGTGGGAGACCCAGTTTGGAAAAAAAATTATGTATTATCAGATGCAGCAAAAAACTTTAGTGCCAAGTTAGCAGATAAATTTATACCAGGTATTGTTAAAAAAGTAACAGGGCAGTTAACTTACCAACTAGAAGATATAACTGGTAAAGACATGGGTAACTGGCATGTGAAAGACCTCAAACCTAGAGACGATACAAACACTGACTGACTTACATACATTAGGATTAGAGTAGGTTAGATATTAAATTAGGATTAGATTAGGTTAGACATCAAAGTAGGATTAGGATAGGTTAAATTTAGCTACCGAAGGATTTACTGCAAAATTTCGCAGAAAAAAAAAATACCCTTTACAATTCAGTTAGTAGTTTTGTAAGCTACAGAATCTAAACAGTTATGCTGAGGATAGCTGCTGTAAATAGGCAACGTAGGTACGCCACAGACAGTTTAGAAATTATAAAAATAGAATTGGGTTATCACAATTTACATTGTTGTAACAGTTAATAACCAACAAAAAAAATATCGATATTAGGATCCATTATCCAGATTGCTTCAATCTTGAAAGAGAATTTAAGGGTAGAATAATATCCATTTTGAAGTTACTTAGAGAAAAACAGATTTAACTATGACCGAGTTAGTACTATACTAGGTACATGTTTTTCAAACAAAAAAATTATAGGGTAAACGTACATGCTACATAGGATCGCTAAGTTAAACCTATTAGTTAGAATAAAGTAGGATAATTTAGGATTAAGGTAATTTAGGAATTAGTAGTTTTAGAATAGCATAGGGTAGTTAGAATAGGTAGGATAGGAAACTTTAACTCGAGTTATGCCGAATGGTCGACCATTTAACCAAATATGAACCTTGTTGTTAGTATTCAGAATGTGAAACTTAATTTTAGGTGAAGGTTTTCTTGCAGGGGAATAATTTCACACTTTACAGCGTTTAGGAGGGGGGTTGTGTAACGTTTTCTATAAGCAGTTACAGGTTTTGTAAATACTGCAAAAGTAATTTAATAGAGGTCAGGATATGAATATAAATTCAATTTTAAAATTTATCTTTTATCTAACATTCTTGACCAAGGGGTCAAGAGAAAAGACATTTTGATATAAGGCGAGGCTGGTGGTCAGTTGTTGAGCTGAATATAATTGTTTTAAATTTAAACTTTATACCACTGGTGAGTACAATCTCCGATCACTTTTTATTAAGACCCATTAATCCATAGGCCGCTTTCCTATTCTCTGGTATTCTGCGAGAATAAAGTATCATAATTGGATGATTAATGCGAAGATAATACTTACATCTAACGAGCCCAATCTGATAGCGACTAGTGGAGACCCAATCTGATAAGAGTCCTGTGGAAAAACCCCGGCTTCAACCACCTTTTTGGACATCCGTAATTCCACCAGTTTGAATTAGATCAAAAGCAAGGTCAGACTAATTTTACTTACCTACCGCTCCTGTCGTGAAGCATGTCGGGTCTATACCAGCATTAAGATTGTGGGCAAGGCGATCACCCTTAAATCTAGAACAAAAGTACCTACTCGTTAGCCAGACTCGAGGTGACCAGTTGTACTTACCAGTTTAGGAATCCGTAGCTGCACCGCTGCAGGTGTACCTAATCATCCGTTCGACATTTAACTTAATCTATTTATAATAAATAAAACTTAATTAGCGTAGCACTTCATGCTTGTTTAATTTTTCACTTGCTAAAGGAATACATTGTGACTACTTTAAAGTTTATTAGCACTACTAATACGGCAACTTGTTATATACCGGGTAGGTGCTGAGCGATTTGAGTGATTGGTAATCAATTTCATAAAGCCAAAAGGGAACTACGCAAGTATTATTTACCGCCTCTAACGTAAATGAGCATTTGTTAATTTACCTAAGATCGCTACCCCAATAAGGCCTTATTCCGCTAGCAGTCCATTTTATTTGTCGAGCGTCAGACTGCAAATCACTTGTGTGAGATTTGTATTGCAAACTATACCCTTGCGAGGTTGTTACCTACCTTATAAGTTACTATTGTGCGTCCCCTACTCAAGCCGTGATGTCCCTCCTGTACCAAATTATAAAAAAAAAAAATGTCAAAGCCTGTGACTATTGCCTAACATTAATATACGAACCGTTTAGTGTGACTGGTTAGTTTTTTTGCCCCAGCCGAGCACCCACGACCCCTGCCTCCTATATTCGAGCTGCCTCCTTTGGCAAAAGTTTGTGCCGTTGTTGCACGAGGCAACGTAGGTCATACATTTGGCGCCCAACGTGGGGCACTGTTGCAGGGAATTGTGTACAGAGTATGGACTTACTCACAGGAGAGTCATAAGGGAAGCCTAAGTCTCCCCTGGTGACACCAGTTTTCCCATAACCATAATGAAAATAGTCACAAAGTTTGGTAGGGAAGCAGGATGCCAACCTTGCTATGGTTACAGTATCAGGATCAATAGAGGTCCCAGCAGGTCTCTCTGCTGTGTCTATGTTATATTTCTCTTTAAGCCAATCTAGCACAGTTTTCATGCTGGGTATTATCTTCTCTCTTAACTTATCCCAAACAGTTCCCCTGAATGCAAATAACATAATTAGGAGTTCAACATCCTTGGTGATTTTCTCCTTGTTGGTGTATACGTAATTCTGAGGGTTCTGCTGGGTACCTATTTGAAATGTGATACTCTCATCATCTGTGTGTTCAACATAATCTCTTTCATATGTTCTTATGAGGCGGAGGATTCTTTTTATATCGAAGCCCTGATAGGCCATTATTTTTGACCAAATCTCAATTTCAGCCTGGTTATCCACCCCAATCTCATCCAGCTGTCCTCGGTCAAACCATGCTGCAATTTCAGGATCCTCCCGCAGCCATTGAGCTATATCATTCCATTCAGGCTGAATTTGAGCCATCGTGAAACGATGTATTTGTCTACACAACTGGGTTGTTTCAACTGCAGAATACGAATGCTGAAAATCTCCCAATTAATATCTATAATGTGAAAATATAATTTGTGTAGCTGCAGAGCTCGCTAATTACATAGTTCTGTGCTTTTCATTTTATAATTTCGTCGTGGATAATCCCTCTCCCATTTTCAATCCGTTGTTTTTGAGACGTTGATTGTACTGTGACTACTTGTAAATTAGATTTAGTTAAGCGTCATTTATTTGCTTTAGAAAGAAGAAGGCAGCATTTTAACGGAGAAACTCAAGACATCCAAAATAGCTTTATCTCGTTTAGTATTCAAATTGTAAGACTAATGGTTGGTTAATCTTTTCCATACACTCTGTGACAGAAAACTTCTATGGAAACGATTGTTTCACATCCTCTACAGTCTACACAGACGTTGCACGTTAAATAAACTTAATTTCCGGTTTATGCCAGTTTTAGCATATCTTGTTTTTAACTCGAGGATAAATTCTATAGAGACGGCTCGTAGACTAGAATATTTTGGCAGGGGGTTGCAATATCACACCACTCTAGCAAGGAATTTTTGATGCATTTTTTTGCCAGTATTCATTATCAATTTGTTGCAGTGATTCCAACATTCCATCCAAATGTGTTTGACATGATCGTTATCAAACTGTATTATTTTTCCCTATATTTCTGTATTGTTATTTGCCGTTTCTCCATACCAGTTCGATGGAATTAAATTACTGTGGGGATCATCAGAACATATTCCTCTTCTGTAAGAATAAATTGGAAAGAAGAAAAGATAATTTTATCGTATTGAATATTCAGTTTTAAATCGGCCTTAGATACACATTGCCTATTGATAGGTTAGGTACTCCGAAAGAACTATGTTTCTTCCATCTTCCAGCTAATATTCATTTCTTCGGATCTCTGGAGTAGAGAGAGTATCTGTAATAATTTGGTTGGTTTCTTTCATAGTTCCTTTCTCGGGGCTAATTATCGGATTGGCTGTATCTCAGCAGGCCATAAAATTTGATGTCAAGGTCTGAAGGGATGGATCTGTTTCCTACTCTTGCCTCTCAATTTCCCCAATATTTTCTTCGACAGAAGACAATGCCATTCTTGGAAATTGATTAAGTGCTCTAAATTTTTGCTCCGTTTTCTTTGGGAGTAGACGCATAAGGTTGAATTTCGTATTCCACACTATCTATAAATATTCTATTCGTTGAGATGAGACCACAACGACTTTGCGCGATTTATCCACCATCCTAACTCTTCTAGGAATTTGACTGAGTGGGCAACGTGTCGCATCAACTGATCTGCAGCTTGATTGACTAACAGAAAATCGTCGACATAGACTACCAACTGCGACGCCTGAACTGGGTAGTTGGTCTTGCTACCCAATTTGAAACTCGAGTGGAGCGATGGCCAGACAGGCCGAAAAGTAGGCAAGTCATATGATCAATCATACCCCTGTGAGCCAAAGAAAGGAATCTTCGGTGAGAAGGTCAAATTGGGATATAAAAGTAGGCCTGTGACAGGTCCAACTTTATAAGATAGTCCCTCTTGTGAGGGAAATGCGGCACTTTCAAGTGATTTAGTAGTCTTAAATACTTGTTCAAGCTCCCAAGTTGAAGATTGGGCGTATTTCTTGCAAAACCTGAGATTCTGGTATTGTCCTCCGAATGATATATCTTAAGCTTCCGGCGTTTTATGAATGTCGATTTGAGACTTCTGCGCCACTCACGTCCACGTCATAAGTTCGACGTTGATCCAAACCGAACAGAACGCGCCGAACATTTTCCGATGTTTGTCGATGAACGGGATTTGCGCAAAGGGAATTATTCTTTTGTTGCTGCTCAGTGGATACGTACGTTTGCTGCGCTTACTGTGGTTGTGGCGTTTCGTTTTTGGCGAAAAAAATAGAATGTACTGGAGCAGAGAAAACTGAATTTGAAAGACAACCTGTATTACGTTACAAACGGGTCGTATTTTAATAATATTAAAAAACACGGTGCGTGGGCGGTAATTTTATTATTACGAATATGAGATGCTCTCCAGATGATGCAAGAAAAAAAATGGAAAGTCTTCTTTCCAGTTTTAGGAGGGAAAAGGCCAAAGGGAAAAAATCTATAGGAACAGGTAAAGGTAAGTTTTTTAGCGCATTTTTTAAGAATTAAAAAAAATTGCTATTGTTTGCGTTTTGTCCGTCCGTTCGTCTGGACCCACTTCTGCCGTTTCGAACTACTTCTAGGGGAATGGTCCTAGAGTCCTGGAATTTTTTGCAATAGGTAGCCTATACCTTGAAGGTGTGCCAGACCGCTATCAAAATTTCGCTGTCTAAAAGGGCCCCCCCCCCACGAATTATACCTCAAGAATTATACCTTAAGATACTTATACCTCAAGAACGGATTGTCGGAAGAGGGTACTCACAAATGGCGATTGAGACGTCTGCAAGAAATATATACATTGGTCATGTCAAAATAAAAGCTATTTCGGTTAAAAAAATGCGCTTTATCTGCACAAGAGTTGTGCACAATTTATACTTGTTTTTTCTATTTTTGCATTTAGTTAAATACAAAATTAATGATTCGTTCTAAATTCACTAAATATTTTAACATATGAAGGTCAAAAGTTGTGAAATATGCCTATACTTTCGGGGTACCCTTTATACACAACGCTGTAAACCATATAATTTATTACATATATTGCTGTGTTTATTTCATCTAACAGGAAATAAAGTATCTTTCTGGCGTCAAAATTGCGGTGGAAAAATCAGGATTCTTTATTGCGATAATGAAATTTGTAAACTCAGAAAGCGTTGCCAGTACCGTTTTGCGTTGAAAACGAGCGACATGGACGATCTCGATGTTGCTCTTTTAGTAGTGCTAGATGGCGAGGAATCAGAGGAAGAGATTCATAGAAGCGAATCTGCCCTTTTTAAAAAAAGAACTGCAGAGGTTGCATACCAAATTTTAATTTGTGGCCATTTATGTACTAATGAAAATAAGTTCAAGGAATATTTTCGTTTTACGCCGGCCTTATTTAACTACGTCTTAGGGTATATAAAAGACGATATTTGTTCAATACCAACAAATCGTGTTCAAAATCCATTGGCTCCTGAGCAAAAATTATGTCTGCTTCTAAGGTATGTATATATTTCCATTAATACTAACTGCATCAAACACAAAAGTAGCATGCATGTCTTTTATTTCAAGAAATGTTTACATGCGTTAGATAAATTTACATATTTATAAAGTAGTTTTGGTTATGGCGGCGCCATTACTAAAGTAGCGGATGGTCCCATTGAAGTTACAAAATCCTCTGTAACAAATGTACTGTGTGATGTGGAGCTGCTGATGATGGTCCATGCCCATAGTCTGGACTTCCCAATGCTGATAGATGTTCAATCTCTGCATTTCCTATTAAATCTCGGGGTCCTTGAAGGTAGATATTTCTTAAGCGCCTACATCGGAACTTGAGTTCTACGGCAACACCCTGGTCATCTTGACATCCTTGGCTATGCAGTGGCTAAAGCGTATTGCGCTGGACTTCAAACAAATATTTAGGTGCCTCACGGACAACACCAAAACATGCCCTTCGAGTTCCCAAGTAATGTGCCATAAATTGTGCGAAAGTGGATCCTTGTGGTTTCACTTGCATTACATTCTCTACTTCCTGTTCCTCGGGCTCGTTCTGTCCCGCGTATGATGCCAACCGATTTATGTGCACTACCACTGGTTTTTCTCGTGGTTGTTTCAGTATCTGATATATTAAGTCGTTTATTCGCTTTACGTCTGCATACGGTTCTTCCCAAGCTCATGTAATTTCGAGGATAGCCCGCGCCGTCTCTGCGACGATGCAATCAAACCAGATCTCTGGGTTGATAACCACAAGCGTGGGCCTTCACGCCGTACGGCATGCTTTCATACTATCGCTAGCCATCTCTGCATATTGTGACGAACCTTACCATGGTTTGCACCCAATTTCTGACGCAGGTTTTCCACAAACTCTGTCTCCACGGTTTCTTCTTGACCGGGTCTTGTACCAAATTTCAAATCACACGACAACCAGAGTTCCCTGCCAAACAACACGGGGCTGGGCTCTCCTATAGCTTCTTGTGCTGCAGAACGGTTCTCCATCAGGAACAAATGCAGATATTTATCCCAACCCCGCGGGTGATCGGACACAACCTTTGACAAGTAGGTACTTTCCCATTGTCCCTATTCATGCATTCTACTATTCCGTCTGACTGTAGGTTTAAAGCGGAGGTTTTGTTCTTGCGAATTACCAATAGTTGACGCAGGTTTTGGAATAACGGCAACTCAAAAATTCCGCCCTGGTCAGAGTGTAGTTCCAAGGG